GACAGACAGATGGACAGACAGACAGATGGACAGACAGACAGATGGACAGACAGGCTGATGGACAGACAGACAGACACACCTTTAATCGACTTTGTAAGTAGTAATTTAGAATCATCAAGGTTAGATAAGAAGTTACAATTTAGGTCGCCCATCAAGAGTAACTCCTTAAATTCATCATCATAAGTTTGAACTATACGTTCGAAAGATTCAAAAAAGGATCTGTCACTGTTTGGTGGCCTATAAAAAGCACAAATTCCAAAAGGCTTACAGTTTGGTTTGACAATATCAATAACGATTATTTCATGATTGGTTTGTTCACATATAAYATTTTCCCTGATTAAATACTTATTCCTGGAATGTATATATAAGCAAATTCCTCCTCCGAATCTATTCCTATCTTTTCTAATTAAGACATAATTATTGATATTCATTAAATCATTAGAAATAAATTCGTCTAGACGAGTTTTGTTTAAAGCTAATATATCAAACATCTCATCCTCAAGAAGCAGTCTAATTTCATCCAAGTGTAAGGGCAGACTAACAATATTTAAACTTGCTACTTTAAAACCTCTTACCTTAGGTATTAGGCTGCAGTTAGAGGTAGATGGCGTACTGTCAGACTCAGTATTTAATCAAATATCATTATTATAATGAATGTAACTATTAAAATCCTTAGCTAGAGCGGACAGTCCAGATCGATTTAAATGTAATCCTTTTGAGTTGAGACCCCTTTCTGTAACTGTGGAATGAGATATCACATCATCGAAGGACTGGTGTAGGAGCTGGTTTACTTTCTTCCGTGCCATTTCCAGTTCGGATGAGTCGGATCTGACAGGTAGTTCAGAAATTGCGAATGAGCAATTTGAGTTTTTTTCAATATAGTCACAGACATCCTTGATTTTGTTCACAATTTCTTGTGGTTTATCTTGCCAAAGATTGTTAGTGCCAATGTGGATAATAATTCTGTCCGGCTTTCTTCTAACAATTGGTTTTATGTGATTTTTAAGATCATCAACCGTAGATCCTGGAAAATCATTGATAATTACTCTGTTATTTTTGTTGGACATTTTCCAGCCCTCTAGTTTGGATATAATAGAATCACCCACTATTACAGTGCGGTTAGATGGTCTTGCAGCGGTTGATGTGGAAACTTCACTGGATGACGTTTTAGATGAGTTACTGTTGGACTGAGCCGATCCAGAAGACTTATTATTAGTCGTGTTACTCAAAGAACTACCGGTTTGTGCCTCTGGAATCGGCTTCTTCTTTTTATTGCTCTTTTTCTTTTTCTTTTTTTTTGTTGGTCACATCACTTATTGAAACTTCTAAACTGGGTTTTGTGATTTCAATAACAGACTCCATCCCTGGACAATTACTTTCTTTGTTTGACATAAGAATGGCTATTGTTCCAACTAAAGCGTCCTTTTCTTTCTGAAGAGTTTTAACTCTCTCTTTTTGAATACTAATTTCTTCTTTCAAATCTAAAATTTCCTGATCTTTTTCATCTTTCTCTGCAATTACTGACTTTAGGAATGTAACATCTCTGATCAGGGAATCCACTTGATTCATTAAATGTATCATAAAAAGACAGAAAGACAGATGGACAGACAGACAGACAAACAGACAGACAGACGAACAGACACAGACGGACAGAAAGACAGACAGACAGACAGACAAACAGACAGATGGACAGACAGACAGATGAAGAGACATACAGTTGAACAGACAGACAGACAAATGGTTATCAGTACATACCCCACAGTTCTTTTTCTGGTTTCTCTTCCAGTGTTTCTTGTTGCGCTTTGTTGCAACTGTTGGCACAAAGTTGGCTTTTTTAGGAATTCTTGGATTCAGAGCCAGCAAATTCTAGAAAACAAATATACAATAAAAGTGATACCAACGGCATGTTTATCAGTCTCCTACGCAGCTGCTATTAGTGTCGTCACGCCACGCTCACTCCCCTCTAAGCGTTGCGTGACGAAACTAATAGCGATGTGTAGGAGACTACATGTTTATGAAACGGTCTGATATCATCCAATCACCATGTGACCGTTGACATGTCTTTCTGGTGAGAATTAAAGCCAGTTGGGTGGCTTCCTTAACGAAAAACTGGCTAAAATTGTGCTTACGTGCATTATGGTACATTGACAAATATGTTATGACAGATTTATTGATAGCCATTGGACTGTTATACGAAGATGAATGGGTACTGCAGTCTACTGATTTCCATAACTATTAACTACATCTATTTCCATTAACTATTTAGTGCAAATCCGTTGGATAGACCTCTCTACCTTCATATGCAAATGGCCAATTTCATAAGGTTACATCCGCTGAGAATTGTTCTTTTATGATAAACGTTTTAAAATATTTACATATAAAAGAATCCGCTCTCAAGAGTGGCATCCCGTGGTCTGTATCAGGACAATGAACAACGAAGGTAAAGACGATTATCTAAGGTTAACTGATTAATTATGTAATTAATACATGACAAAAGAGTTGTAATTTTAAATTAAAGAAACTCTGGTGAATCCTTGTTTTCAATATTATTTGCATATGTAGTCTCCAACTACATGAATAGTCGAGCCTTCGTAAACATTCACTCCAACATGCATATTTATTAATTCTAGTTTGGCAACTATTCCACAATTACACAGAAGATTGTACGACTCTCTACAACAAACAATTTACAAGTTAATGTTGCACGCTCGACTAATTCTTGATGTTAATTATTCATGGCGCCTGCGGGGCCTATATGGTCTGCGGAATTAGATGAAAGATCTGATGAGTTTCAGTTCACAATTGGTTTGGCTTGAGCAAGACACAGCAAACAAACTGTCTAGCTTTTCAAGTGTCTAAGTTTGTAATCAATCAATCATAAATGATTCCATTGCGAAACCATATAACTGATGTAAAAGGTCATAGGCTATAGATATATGCATAAGACATGGTAAACAAAGTGTCTAACTTTTCAAGTGTCTAAGTTTGTAGCAATCAATCATAAATGATTGCGAAACCATGCAACTGATGCAAAAGGTCATAGGCTATAGATATATGCATAGAACTTAACAAGCTCATATGCAAAATGTAATAAAATTTAAGATCTAACCAGGTTATATTATTAAAAGATAGTTTAAAAAACCCTCTTGTTAATTAAGCAATTTGAAAATAAGAATATTATTTTAAACAATATAGGTCATTAAATATAGTAAGCATGCTGCTTGGAAAGGTAAGGCGCGGAAACTTGGAATATATGCTATCCAAAGCTTAGTTGGTTTTAACTATCTTGAAATCTTTTATCACAAAGTCTTTCTATTTTATTTATCGATGCGTAAAGTTGCAATAACATGAGTAGGAAAAGAACATCTTATGCAATCATTAAGCTTAGTTAAATTTTTTTGTGGTGCGTTACGACGATAAAGCTTTCGTTATCTTCGATCAGCAATTCATTTTTGCTCTGAAATTTTCTAAAATTCCAACTAGGATTAATAATTAACGATTAATGAGTTAGAAAAAGTACAAATCGTTCCTAGAGAACTACGGCATTTATCAGCAGTTTAAGTACACATTCATGATCATGTATTTGCAAAAAGGCTTATTGTCCAACAAAGTAAGAGTCAAAGTTGTATTATCATACTACAACAATGATACATGTACAAATTGCTAAATAGTTTGAAAATAACGTGTTATGGATAATTTATGAGGATAAAATAAGTATAAACAACAAATAAATTGATAGATCGGACATTGTCCACGTATAGCCTAATTAATAAACCATGTGGTGGAAGACTACTGATTGAGCAAACTTACGTGACTATTCGACGCCAAATAACAGTACGATCAGTAAAACTCACCTCGATCTCAACTGAATGCGCCGACAAAGCCATGCTAGACTTGTGTCGTGTGGTCTTTGAGTAACTTTTCTCTACGTTTGGAAATTTAATTTGCTGTTTATTTTATAGGTCACGTGGCATGATCAGTGAGGCCAGGGTCGTTTGAGTAATTGCGTCACGCGTTTGATGATTATGAAACTATTGTAAATTTCTTCAAGATAATGTTTCTCGGAAAACGAAGTTCACATCGAAGGGCCAAAATTTTATGGGGGGGGGGGGTAATTGAGTTTAGGGAGGCTAATTGAGTTTCTTCCGTCATCACAACGGAAGCAATAAAAAAGCATCTAATTCTTCAGTTTCAGGCTTCAGCCCCCCTTTGCCCCCCCCC